ACACACACACACACACACACACACACACACACACACACACAAATATTGGCGAGTGAACTTCGTTCCACTTTACAGCTGAAATTCACTGCTTGCGTTCATAATAGCGCTCCTAAACTCCTATGATGCGCACAACACATACAACAATATTTGTCATAGGAAGAATCTTCCTATGACAAATAGTGTCATAAGAGAGCGTATATGCGTATGTCGTATTTGTCATAGATGCTAGCAGAACAGGCTGCAATAAAGTAGTAAGAATAAACATAAGAATATACCGCATGTAGTTGTACAGTTATTCGCAAGTCACACTCATGTTGCCATAAACCGGGTAATTTGATTACGGTTACGTTGAGCCAAACCACAAGTGAGACGGAAAGATTGGCACTAAATCGCAAGCAAATGTCGCAATTACATTCTAATAGCATCCGCAACGTTTAACCAGAATAGGCAGATTGATGTGGATTTTCTACGTTTTCGCTACAGTGACGCTTACGCAATTTGAATTCGATCGAAATGCGCTGAAAACTGAAATAAATCGCACAATATTTGCCGCCGTCTCGGCGAACCGCGTGATGTCGCAATTTGCACGGCGACTCTCGCGTTACCTCCGCCGAGATGTTTTGCGCGGCACACACCTATCTCGTCGCGGGGCGACAGCATGTACAGGCGAAACACTGCTTATTGATTGTTACGCACATACGCACACACGCGCGAAGGTTGCTCGCGTCTCTGGAGACGACGCGCAATCAGCATCCCGCCTAGCAGCGCGAAAATGCGCCGCGCAATCCGGCGGGATTCCGCGCTGGATTTCTCATCCTCTGCAAACATGAGCCTGCCAAACGACTGACGGCCGCGCGGCGACGGTCCCCCGCGTGCGCCCGTCGCCGGCGATGACGCCACACCAGTGGCCCTTATCGCGCCGTGAGATCGCCAATTGATTTCGACGAGACCAGAGCCAAGCTTTTCATTAGGCAGTATTATATAGCGACAACAATGAATATCAATTGCACGCACGCAAGGCGCTGCAGCATCGAGCTGTATTACTGCGTGTGCGTGTAGTAAGTAGGTAAGTAGGTAAGTTGTGTCGACGGTGAAAGAATGATGGCTTTATTACGACCCAACACGCACACTGTTATTAGGCAAATAAAAACGTTCATCCGTCTTGCTGCGAGAATGGGGCTGCTAGGCTGCTAGAGAATAATGAAATACGTGGCGACAGCACAACTGCCGGAATTTGTTGGATTAACGCCCGCTCGAAACTGATATCAAACATGTGCAACCTCGTGATGCTTTAAAATATAACCTACCATTGCACGCTATTGCCCCCACGAGTAATAGATGCCCCACGAGTAATAGATGCCCTATACTTAAGTGAAATCGTATAGTTTGTGCAAGTAGCCAACAAGCTCAGCACCTGGTAACACCCCCCATCAGTACTAAAGAGCATAATGAAACAGAAACAACAAAGGAGATCTTTCTGACTTATAACCTGAATAACGGCATCTATCTGGTACTGATGATGATGATGATGATGATTACTATAAGGCCTGAACGAATACGGGTAAAAAGTTCTCTTCTCATGTATCGGGGTAAAAACCAAACCGCAGACATTTACCTTCACCAAAGGCTTCCCTAGCATTCGTACTCACAGAGACAAAATCGCTTCTCTGGAGACTACATGCGTGAGAAACTCGAAGTTCGAGAGGTGACTTAATTGAATGACTTCACCCAAGTGACCCAACCCTACATTGGGTCGTTGATTAAACAAGAGCTGATGACTTGACATGAGCACGATGCTACTATTTGGTCAGCATTTGATCGATACAGACGCCTATTTAGCATGTCTACACTGTCTCACAGAATGTACAGTAAAGCGTGAACCTTGCAGATTTATCTGCTCGGTGCTGTTTCACCACACACTAATTCATTGCGAACATGTCGACAACTACCTTCATCGAAGTCATGGAAGCCAATCTAGTGTCACCATGCCTCAACCCATAGACTCCATACAACCATGCTCCCTCCCATACATCCGACCCAGGCCTCCCGTTTCAAACATACAAACTTCCTTAGCAACCTAACTGACCCTAATTTACACGTTACATACACGACGAATGACAACCTAGCTGGCCTGAAGCTAATGGGACGGCAGACTAATTAACATAATTTATGCATTATACGAATAAAATTTTAAAACCTACAAAGCTTAAGCACTGCCCACACAATAAGCTGCTTGATCGTTTCAATACGTAGAGTGATTAAGTGACTGTAAATACGTACTAGCATTTATATTTGTTTTTGTTTTTTTCTACAAATTATGAACTGTAAAAATACAGTCATGGTTTCACACATTGCTCACCCTATTTCCAATTTTGCCGTTCCGTTTGCTGTAAACAAATAGTTGCGATTAATACATAGTTCATGACGAGAACGGCTATGGTGTTCAGATGCACTTCCAGACGGTAATTCAACACTGTGATTGCAGATGCATGGTGATTCGCAGTTTTTTCATTTTCGTTTGTTTAAAGACATTCTTGTTTGCCAAGAGTTCAATAATGCATTTAGTGATATAAGTAATGGGTTCTTGTAATAAAATTACTAATAATTTTTTAAAGATCAACGCACCAGTCAAGTTGTTCACGCCACACAATCAGTTTTACGCAAGCGGCGGTTTTGTAAGCGAGTGCGTTGGTACACGCGTTATAATATAACTGCTGCTGCTGCTGCTGCTGCTGCTGCTATTGCTATTGCTACGGCTGCTATTGATATGGCTTCTGTTACTACTACTAGTACTACTACTACTGTTCTGTTGCTGCTTCTGCTGCTGTTGCTGCTGTTGGTGCTGCTGCTGCTGCTGCTACTACTAGTAGTAGTACTATTCTGCTGCTGCTGCTGCTGCTGCTGATGACGATGATGATGATGATGATGGATGTTGCCACTGCCACTGCCGCCGCCTCCGCCACCGCCACCGCCAACACCAACAACAACAACAACCACAACAATAATAATAAGGATAATCATAATAATAATAATAATAATAATAATAATAATAATCAAAATGTAATATTATTATTTTTA